CCCTCTCCCCGCAGTTTCCCTACCCCGGGAGATGGGGCCGCGCCGTGGGTTCCGCCGCTGCCTGCCCGCGGTGGCATAGCGCAGCGCCCGGGTTCTCCGTCCCGCTCCTGTGGGCGCTGCTGAGGGTACCCCTGTTCTCCGCAGCACGTTCGTGTGGCGGAGGCCTCCGCTTGCTAGCAAGCATGGAGTTCGCGGAGCTGATCAAGACCCCCCGAGCGGACAACGTGGTCCTGCACCGCCCGTTCTACCTGGCGGTGGAGGGGACTCTGTGTCTGACCGGGCATCACCTCATCTTTTCTTCACGGCGTCATGATAACGCTGAGGAGCTGTGGCTGGTGCACTCCCACATTGATTTCATCCAGAAAAGGTGTGCCTGCTCATTTCCCTGCCTAATCGTTTGCGTCTCGGGGTTGAAAAGTGGTTGTCAGGACTGAGTTGCACCCTGGCTGTCTCATGTTGGGGTCTGTAATCAGAGCACAGGCAGTTTAATTCTCGTTCTTGTCGGGTATTGTTGTTTGACAGGAGTCTTTTGGTCAGTCAGAATTTTTACATTTAAACAGCTTTGTTAACAGCACTCTGTGTTAATTGTTTAGTGGATTTCATCAGTAGCTCTTGAAGCACTTTATAAAGGATGCATCTTTAACACCGTTCAACAGAGATGGAAGCTGAGGCACTGATGAAGTGATTTCCTTGGGTCACCCACCACAACTGATGGCTAAAGTGGACTCTGGACTTTCTCAGCCCCAGATCGGCCTCCTGCTGCTCAACAGCATCATCCCCTTATTTCTCTAGCTGCTCATGGAAATCAGTAGCGCTTTAACAGCATATTCCTTGTGGGAACAACGTGGGAGAGCTGAGTTGTAGCTGCAGCGCTCTGTTATTTTTCTTGCCCATCCCTTTTTGTTGCAGGGACTTACAGATTGATCTTCTTACCATCACTTCTGCCTGCTTTACATGTACTATTGCTCCATTGTGCTTCTATTCTTGAGTGGCAGTCCTACCTCATCTGATCATTGTCTTCTGCTTCCTTGCCGTGGTCCTTTTTTCAGTTTCATAGAATCATAGTTTGAGTTGGAAGGGACCTTAAAGCTCATTCGGTTCCAACCCCCTGCCATGGGCAGGGACACCTTCTCTAGAGCAGGTTGCTCCAAGCCCCTGTGTCCAACCTGGCCTTGAATACTGCCAGGGATAGGGAAAAATCAAGCAGCAGCAATTAAAGATATCAGGTTGCCTCAGAATCTGAGAATGGGTTAAGTAGTGGGTGCTGATTAAGTCTGTTCCCGTGTTCCTGGTATCTCTGAGTGTTTCTGAGAAATGCCTGCATCCTGGCCTGAGGGTGGAGAAGAACAGAGTGGTGGAAGCCTCAGGAAATCTGTTCCTATCCAGCACTGCTCAGTCATCAGCATGGTTTGGCCTCATCTTCCTTCCTGCGGGTACTGAACCAGCCGTGGCTGTTTTGAAAATTATTATGGTCAAGCTTTTCTTTTGTTTGTATTTTCATATGAGCTCAGTTGCAGTTATAGTGTAAGTTAATACCGAATAAGCAGGGAACAGTTGTAAGTTATGGTGAGGGAGCAGCACACTGCTGGCTCAGTGCGTGATTTGTAACGGGGTTAGCTATAACTGCAGATACTCGCAGCCCTTATTACCAGCCCTGTTTTCTAGAAGGTCTCTAGAGTAGACATATCCCTCTGTGAGAGTAGCATTGTGTGAATGTAACTGCAATGAAGCTTTCCCATATAAAAGGATTAGAATATATTCTTGGTGCTGGGGAGGGTGGAATAACAGGACTCTTAAACCAGTAAAGGTTGTAGAATGGTCCAGTTTGGTGCTACTTCAGGTTATTAGAGCACAACAACTGTGATGTTGTGCCGGATTCATAAAAACACCTTTACCCTTTCACATTATGAGTCTTCCGTACAAAACTGTTTTCCCTGATGATCAGATGGTCATCAACTGCTTCTTAAATGTTTGTAGCTTTTTAAACAACTTAAATATGACCTGTAGGGTTTGTTGAGAAGTGGAACAGTCTCTAGTGATTTCCTATACTGGTTTTGCTTGAAGAAAACACAGCCTTGTTGATGTCTTGTAGCTTCACTGTGTTATTTCCTTGGAGATGTGTGAAACAGTGCTGCAGCAAGGGCAAGCCACGTACAGACTGGCTCTGCTAGAGCTGCAGAACTCCCTGTCAAAAAGCCTGTAGTTCTTCCTTCAGCACTACCCAAATTATAATTGGTTCTGCATGTTAACCTTTGCACACAAGAAATAGGTAACGACCTTTCAGCTGTAATGACAATTCCAGAATAAATTGCAGGCATCTTTTGTAGCACAGTTGAAGCAACCCAAAGCTTAGCAACAGGTCTCTTGGCATGTGCACAGCTCTGCCCTTCTTTGTCCAGAGGGTCAGGCCACGAAGGGCTGAAACCTGGTCCTTCAGGTCTTGTCTGCTTCAGCCTCTTGCATCACCCCTGGCTGCTGCAAGCTCTGCTGTCATGTCTGAGAGACTCTGGTCCTGTTCCTCAGTTTACTGCTTTATAAACTAAAATCTATCATCGTTCCTGTGAACGCTGGTAGCTAGTTAATGCAAATAAAACACTGTTCCTGCTTGGGCATTGTCCTTCTTTCAGGTTTGTAAGGAAGACTGACAAAGCATCTGTGAGCTGTGTTTGCTGTGTAACATACAGCTTTTTCTGGGTTGACTTGTGTTGTAAACAGCAGTGTGATACGTCCTTAACTTCTCTGAGGTCTGCAGAGCAAAGAGCTCCATAGTATTGCAGGTATCAGAAACCAGGCCTAAAGACTTAAAATTAAAGACAAGGGAGTGTAATGTAGCCAGACAGAAATCTTGTCTTGAACATTAAGCTAAATTTGGATGTTTTTAGTAATCTTTGAAGTTTCAGTGCATTGTGTTAATGAAACTGGAAACTGCCAGACGAAGCTTACAGGACTGCCAGAAAATACCTGAACACACCTTTTCTCTTTTATCTTTTAAAGAAAAGCTGTAGGAAAACCTCTGTTTATCTCATGATACTTCCACTCACTGCTGCATCAAAGGATGGAATTTTCCTCCTTCCCCCACCCCCCCCCCCCCCCAGAAAAAAAAAACACCCAACTTGCAAATACCAAACAAAGAAGTGGGTTTATTTGTTTATTTTTTGAAAGGTTATATTGCAGGCGTATTACTACTAATGGAATTTTGTCTTGTAAACACATGTTGTAGGAAAAGCTGTAGTACCTCATCTCACCTTAGATGATCCTGTTCTTAAGAGATTCTTTCTTTGTGTCTTGCTGTAGGTTTGTGGGCTCATTGGGTACCATTGTTATAAAATGCAAAGATCTGCGAATTATTCAGCTGGATATACCTGGAATGGAGGAGTGTTTGAACATTGCGAGCTCTATTGAGGTAAGAATTCATAATAATAACACCTGGGTTCTCAGATCGTGGTCTGACCTCACCCTAAACAACGTAGCACAGGCTGGAGAGGGTCCAGAGAAGGGCCACAAGCACTGGGCAGCCGTGTGAGGAAAGGCTGAGAGAGCTGGGCTTGTTCAGCCTGGAGAAAAGGCAGCTCAGGGGAGACCTTATCCCATGTTCCAGTATTTAAAAGGTGGCTACAGGGAAGATGGAGACTCTCTTTTTGCAAGGAGTCCCATGGAAAAGATGAGAGGTGACGGGCACAAGTTACTTTTGGGGAGATTCCACTTGGACACAAGAGGACAATTTTTCATAATGGGAACAATCAGCCATTGGAGGAAACTCCCCAGGGAAGTGGTGGACTCCCCAACACTGGACACATCTAAGATCCAGCTTGACAGGGTGCTGGATCATCTAGTCTAGCTCATGCTTTGTCAAGAAAGGTTGGACCAGATCATCCCTGAGATTTCTTCCAACATGGAATTCTGTTGTCATGGTTTAAGCCCAGCTGGCAACTAAGTACCACACAGCCACTCACTCACTTTCCACCCAATCCCCAGTGGGATGGGGAGGAGAACCAGAAAAAGGTAAAACCCGTGGGTTGAGATAAGAAGAGTTTTTAATAATTGAAATACGAGTAAAATATAATAGTAATAGGAAATATAGAGAGAAAGGAATAAACAAGTGATGCACAGTACAATTGTTCACCACCTGCTCATCGATGCCCACCTCATTCCAGAGCAGCGATTGACCCCATCCAGCCAACACTCCCCAGTTTCTAAACTGAGCATGATGCTCTGTGGTGTGGAATACCCCTTTGGCTGGTTTGGGTCAGGTGTCCTGTCTGTGCTTCCATCCAGTTTCTTATGCCCCTCCTCGCTGGCAGAGCATGAGAGACCGAAAAGTCCTTGATCAGGGTAAGCACTACTGAGCAACAACTAAAACATCAATGTGTTATCAGCATTATTCCCAGACTAAAGCCAATACACAGCACTGCACCAGCTACTATCCCAGCTGAAACCAGGACATCTATGATTCTATCAACTTTTTGTCCAGTTAGAAAGGTTTCACTGATGTTCTGGAAGGCAAATGAGACTTATGGGTTATTTCTTTCCAATTGCTAAAATATTGTTTGTTGCTTGTGGGTGTGGGGTTTTGGTTGTTTATTTTTGTTGCTATGCTCTTATTTTTAAACAAATAATACCACCACCCCCTCAAAAAAAAAAAAAAAAAAACAAAAAAAAAAAAAAAACCAAAAAACCCAGTCCCAATAAACCCCACAACCCTACTTTTCTTGATCAAGTATTTTGCTGTAACATTTGGGAAAATGAAGCTCAGCTTCATTATACTGGAGCATGAGGGTGCAAAACCAAATCAGTCCTCTTGAGTTTCATGCGTCTCAAACAACATTGTGACTTCTCGAGTTTAAGCTCTGTTAGTAATTAGGTAAATGCTATGTAGGATGTGTCCCATTAGTTACACTTGTTCAGTGTGCATCTTTCTCATCCTTTGGTGTGTTGTTACATAGTGAAGCCTACAGAAATTATATCCTGTACAGACCCCCACTTGCAGTTAGATTGTTATAACCTGCTTTTGTTTGTGCTGTGGGGTTTTATGTGTTTTAAAGTAGCTTGTTGGTAATTTAGTATCTCAAGATTAATGGCTGTATGCTTGTGAGTGTCTTAAGTTTGCATCACCAGTATTAGAGGAAAATACTATTTGATGTATGTTTCTTCTTTTTTTTTTTTTTTTTTTTTTTTTTAAATGAAATAGTTTGAATGAATTAAATAGCTGTTTATTTCTCTTCTCTGCACAGGCACTTTCCACCCTGGACTCTGTCACTCTAATGTATCCCTTCTTCTACCGGCCCATGTTTGAAATCGTTGAAGATGGCTGGCGCTCTTTTCTACCTGACCAAGAATTTGAACTCCTCAGTACAGTAGTAAGTTGCATCTAAGGACTTGCACAGGCACTAGGATATGCTTGTGCAAGTAGTTGGTGAAGTTTATCACCTGATAGTGTCTGAACTGGAAATCCTGGATGGTAAAAATAGCTGTGTGGTGCCTGGATGAAATGTGTGTTGTTCAAATACTCTGCAAACATCAGACGTTTCTGTTTATGTGCTAAATAGAAATATTTAGCACTTGTGTTTCACCTTGTACAAATGTAGTTTTGAGGCCTATTTAGAGTTCCAACCTTCATGTCCTCTCAGGTAAATGTTTTCATCCTTTGGGGATGGCCCTCCTTCTTCTAAGAACAAATTTAAGACTTCTGACCTGGGTTTGTTGTACTTGACTTTCATCCCACTCCAGATGCAATCTTTGTCAACCCCTTAATTGATACGAGGCTGTTCTTAAGAAAAAAAAAAAAAGTCACTAAGGATTTTTTGTTTTCCTAGGAAGATGACAATAGATAAAGATGCCTAATTTGAAACCCTCTTAGCTCTACTTCATGCTGGGGAAATACTAAGAGGGTTTAGAAAGCAGGAAATTTCCAGTCCTAGTCTTCCTGGTGCTGTGAGCACTTGTTGGTATTATTTTGGTACCTGTAGGGTAGGAACTGTTCTTGTGGCATTTCCTGTTGTATCTGTTATTCAAACTTCATTTTAGGATGATGAATTTTGTGTAGTAAGAACTGACTCGGTGTAGGAGCCAACCTGTCTTAATAGTGCTTTGGGTTAGCATCTTTGTATTCCAGGTCTTTGTTTCACATTAAGTATGTGCACTTGCTGCATCATCTTAGGTTTCTGAGACCACATCCATTAGTACAGCATCAAAGAACATTGATTTTTTTTTCGTTTATCTGCAACCCAGCTTGTCTGCAGCATTTATCATTTCCTGCTTATGACTAATATCCGAATAATATGATTTGCTTGACCAGATTCATATGATGAGATCACTAGAAAATTAAAGGAGTTGAGAGGTGTTTCTATTTTTGGCTCATAATTAGAGTACTCTCACATGTCCTATCTTCACCTGCTGTCAAAAGACATACAAACTGACCTGTTAAAAGCACCACAGTTTCAGCTTTAATTTCAGCTGGGAAAGTCAAATGTGATCAGAGTGTTCAGATCTGAAAGCAGCAGACGCTTTCCCAGCTCAGCAGAGGAAGCTTGCAGGCATTTCAATGAGAATCAAAAGGCCAGAAGCTGGAGTGCTGTCTGGTGAGAAGAGTGTGAGAGCAGGATTGATGGCACCAGAAGGAAATTCTTCAGAGCACAATGGAAGATTGCGGGAGATAGTTCTGCTTCTGTTCGTGTTTTGCTTTCTATGTGTAGCTGAAATAGTTTTTAGATTTCAGGGATCCAGTCACTTCTGATGGCTGCATTTACCAGCATGATACCAGTGCTAGCATGGCTTAAAAATGCATTGGCAGCTTATTTGTACGCGTCTTGGCTTTCTGGACATACACTCCTTGGAAGGCTTACATTTAAAACCTGATTTCTTTATAGCTCTGTGTTTCAAGGGCAATAATTTTAAAATATGTGTCTAACAGATGTTGAGTAATTTTTGGCTTTTAACCCAAACTTCAGATGTAACTCCCTTTTTAACAAGATGGTGACAACATCCATCATAGAATGGTTTGGTTCAGGAGGGACCTTAAAGCTCATCTAGTTCTAACCCCCTGCCATGGGCAGGGACACCTTCCACTAGAGCAGGTTGCTTCAAGCCCTGTCCAGCCTGGCCTTGAACACTGCCAGGGCATGTTCAAATGAGTTACATTTCCTGAACAACAGATAAATACATCGTTGACCAAATATTTCTTCTTCTGTAATTAAACTGTCTTGTGTGACAGGCCAGAACAAGTAAATGGTTGATTTATTTTTTTTCTCCTGTAAGTCAGATGAATAGAATACAGAAGTTTACTTCCCTCTCCATTAAATCATCCATCTGGATCTGTTGTGCCTTACCTTCCCCAGTATGGTAACAACTTGTTAAAAACTGCATTTCAGCCACACTGCAGCTCTAGTAATGTATTAATTCCAATTTGTTTGCTACAGAAGAGTTATTTTTAAACTGACACATTCTATAATGGCAAAGTAAAACTATAAAAGTTAAGATTAAAAAAGTTCAGTAATACATTCAGTAATAACCTACAGCACAGGTCAACAGGACTTCTGTCAAGTGACTTTCCAAGAACTGCTCTTCAGGTAAATCCAACCTATCAACAGAGGCATTCAGCTGAGAGTTAAGTCATACTAAGAAATCAGCTCAATGTTTTACTGTCTGTCACAGCAAAACCTCCAAATTATTATCCTGTGAGATGAGACTTTAATGATACTACAGACAAATACATGAATGGAGTAAAAGACGCATGGGATAGTTAATGATTGCTCATCCAGCTTTAGACCGTGTTTTGTGCTTTTCCTGAGGCACTGGGTAGTACATCAGATCTGGATTGGTTATAGGTATGTCAGCTCTTCCTGGACAGTTCAATTCAGCTGTGCTCTACTGCACTGGAGCTTCTTAAAAAAGGCTGAATTTTCTGGTTTGGGGCTCAGTTTGCAATGGTGTGGATAGCTCATATTTTGCTCTTATCAGGCAAGCATCGATCTTTGCTTGCATCTGTTGTTATGTTTCTTGTCCACGCACAATCTGTTGCTAACAGGGCTTGTTGCCTTCTGCCTGTTCCTTGGGAATAGCCTTTCTCATTGCTGCTCTGCAGGATCCTTCAAGGTCTCTGGTTTCCTAACTCTTCTTTTAAGGCTTACTAGTAGAGCTTGAATTGTTTCACACTGTTTTGTGGAAAATGACCTCTCCTAGCAATTTCAGCTTTTAGAAGGAATGATAACTTGTTTTAGCCTTTCAGTAACATTCAAGGATCAATATCTAAACAAGTACCAAGACAAGAAAAGTACAAATGTAAGAGTTAATTACGCACTGCTTTAAGAAAATACTTCAGGCTACTTTCTTTTTTTCTTTGAAGCCCTCTCTCCTTTCTACTTGGCCCCAATTCTTTGCTACTTCTAACCTTAACTGCAATTAACTTTTTCTGATCCCTTAAAGTACAGATTTCTTGCTGGGAGAAGTAAATGTTAACTTTGTACTTTGAGTTTCCCACAGCATACTGGTGATACCTGAAGATGAGGTCCACCTCTTTGCTTCACTACAGTCCTTACTGCTGCACATAGCTGAATTGCTGTTAACTTGCTCTTCCACTTAGTAATGGCAATTTTTTTCTTTGAAGTTGCAAGACAACTCCAAGCAAAAGCCAAGTGACTTACACTGTCAGGTTTTAGTGTCACCTGATTTGTGTTGTAGTGTATTTTAGCAGTCTGAAGCCAGCAGAGGTTAACTGGGTCTCTGCAGAAGTAGCTGTGATACAGAAGACAAATGGTGCTAATTGTTGCCTCCTTCCTATGTAACAGTAAACTATCTCTGGGTGACATAACAGAGTCATCTGTCCTGTACTTATAAACAGTGAGGAGAGTAGCTTATGGGCAGAGTTAAATTACCAAAGTGGGAATAAATCAGGTTGATACTCTTCCATTCATAGAATCACAGAATGGTTTAGGCTGGAAGGGACCTTAAAGCTCATCTAGTTCCAATCCCCTGCCACAGGCAGGGACACCTTCCCCTAGAGCAGGGTGCTCCCAGCCCCTGTGTCCACCCTGGCGCCAGGAATGGGGCAGCCACAGCTTCTCTGGGCAACCTGTGCCAGCGCCTCAGCACCCTCACAGGGAACAACTTCTTCCTGAGATCTCATCTAAATCTCCCCTCTGTCAGGTTAAAGCCATTCTCCCTTGTCCTGTCCCTACAGGCCCTTGTCAAAAGCCCCTCTCCAGCTTTCTTGTCATCCCTTTTAAACACTGGAAGTTAGTCTAAGGTCCCCCTGGGGCCTTCTTTTCTCCGGACAGAACAGCTCCATCTGTCTCAGGCTGTCTCCATAGCAGAGCTGCTCCAGCCCTCTTATTATCTTCATGGTCTCCTCTGGACCCACTCCAACAGGTCCATGTCCCTCTTGTGTTGGGGTCCCTGGAGCTGGATGCAGGACTGTAGGTGGGGTCTCACAAGAATTCCTTCTCATGCTAGTCACATTAGTGGCAGCCAGTGTTTCGAAAAGCATACCACAAAGTTGTAATTTTTGCCTTTTCTACGTCCTGTGTGGCAGCAAGATATTGATCAGTTCTCTATCCATGTGTATTTTTTTCCATTTTAAACAAATTGCACACCATTGTATGAAATTTGCTGTAATTTAACAACACCCTAAAAAACTATAAAACCATGTCATTATTGGTGAATTAAAAGCATGAGCTTTTAATGGAGGACCAACCGGCCTCCCTTATGTATTCTAGAACTACTTTCATCTCCACCTATGGCATGATTGCCAAAGGCAGTTTAACTTTGCATCTGGGAGACCTCTGCTTTTTATAAAACATACATGTTCAGGGAAGCTGTTTTGAGTCTAATGAATAATGAAATAAACTTACAACAGGGACAATGCAAAACAGGATAGGCTCCTGAACAGAGGTAGCAACTGATGTTTGTGATAACTATAATGCACACTGTGTACCTTTCTCAGCATCTTTTTCTTAGGCTGCCACTGAAAGGTACACTTTTGCTGTTTGCTGTGCCACACATCCCATGTGTTGCATCTACTGATGGTGAAAGTGCTGTGAATTAGATCAGCTTTTTCATCTGGTGAAAAGACTTCATTGCCAGAAAACCTTTCTCAGTTGATCCTAGTTCTCCAATGGGCCAGTGACCCAGTCAAATTTATATAACCAAGTACCAGGAGGTGTAAGGCAAGAGGTAGTAAGCTTCTGGAAGAAAGAAAAGAGGAAGAGAGACCTACTTGTGATTAATGCATGCTAAACCAACTTTCCTGAATTCACATGGGGTTTTGTGTATTCCATTGCAGCATAGTCTCTTGCTTTCTGTGGTACCTGCTTTATGCCCCTACCTTTTCGTCTGCCTGAAACTTTCTTTGAACACAACTGAGCAGAGCTTTTTATGACATCTCTGAGATCTCTGCCTGCTGCAGTGGCATGTAAATGCTTCCCAGTCTGTACCAAAACCACTTCAGCTGAGTGAGTTAAGGTCTTGTTTGCTCTATCACACCTGTGTCATGCTAAAGCATAGGAACTAGAGGGGTGGAAAAAAAAACAACTATGTTGAAAGCAGCTGCCTGTTTCCTCTTCAGAAGTTTTGTTTTTTTAATGTTTCATTTAAACTTCATTGTGTCTGGAGCTTTCACAGGCAAATTTGAGTGCTATCCTGCTGCTACTTTTATGGTTTTAATGCTGCTGTTAAAACCAAAGCATGCTGTAGAGGCTTCTGGGTCATTTTCCTCACCAAAGCTTCTGCCGGCAGGCTTTGTTTGCCGTAAGAAATATAGGATAAGGATGCCCTGACTGATGCAGCCCAGCCAAGCCACTGTCCTGCTATCAAGGACCATGAGCTAAATTCACTGACAAACTTTAGGCAAGGTTTTGCTGTGTGATACACTCCCCTAGGAAAAATATATGCCTTTGTGGCCATCTGATGTACCTAGATGATGTCCTTAATGCAGGACGCAGTGGTGTGGCACAGAAGCAGCAAGCCCTCCATGAAGGCTGGGCCTGTCTGAGGCTGCAGTTAGGTCAGTGTCAGCTCTTCCAGCCTGGACTTCAGTAAATGAGGACTCCTCATCAGTGAGGCTGCTGGTTGACATTTGGTTTTGCCTGAGATGGGGCAAAGTCCTGTGTCTGACCCTGGGTGGGTGTCAGGTAGCCTGAGTTCTCATGCCAGGTGCCTGTGAGGGTGCAGGGTGCCAATATTCAGCACTTCTTTTACAAGTGTTTGACTGTTGGAAACTGAAAAATTATCCAACAAGAATTTATGGTGGGACCTTTGTGCTTAGATGCTGTGCTTGGTTCAAGGAGGTGCTTTTGGATGAAGAGCTATAATGCTCTACATAAAGCAGAGCCCATAGAAAAGAACCAAGCTGGAAATCTTAAATTGAAATTTTAACCTCTAAGCAGCTTCATCATCTGGAGTTGGTGGACGTTCTTGCCTTTTTGGGCCACTTTTGTCTGGTGGGTAGTGTTACTAACTCTGCTCTCAGCACAGATAGAGGTTTGAGCCCATGTTACCTCCATCTAAATCTCCTGATGCAGAAATACATTTCTGTTCTGGGGTCTCTGAGGGACAAGACATACCATGTTCTTACTTCCTATGATATTGAAGCTATCTGCGAATGCAGTTATATTTTTATTACATACTGCAGACATGCTGCCTGCTCTGTCTGAAATAATTAAAAGCTACAATCACGCATTTCTGTCCACGTGGGCTTATTTTGTGCTGTTTGTTGAGGAAGCGGATAAACCAGATGGGGAATGAACCATTATTTAACAAGTCCTACACCTCAAGGAGCTGGGCCACCTGATAATTTCTTCCGTTGCTTTTGAGCCTTATCTGCACGCTGGGTAATGAGCTTTTGGGAGCTGCTGCAACAAGGTGATGTGATTGCAGGCAGCATCAAGAGGTGTGGGGAAAAAATAATCACTCGACAGACTTACAAAAGGATACTAAAAGCATTAGGGAGGGATATACATTCTAATATCTAAAATACAGCATCTGAGAGGTAGGGGATGAGGAGTGCGCTGCAGAGAGTGGGTGGGCTTCTTTGTTCTTGAATAGCATCTCTTTTACCATTTTTTTTTGTTGGAGACAGGATAATGGTGCTGGGTTTGATCTGACCAGTTAGGGTAGTTCTGGTATTACAGGGGATCCAGATTCCTGCATGAACAAACATGATTATGCCAGTAGTGACAATTGATTTTTCATCTGTGGTGCAATGGAATAGATTGTTGATATAACTGAACATGGAAGGTCCTATTCCCTAGTATGTTATGTTGTAACAGCAGTGATCTGTTTTCTGACCCAAAGCCTTTATGTTCTGATCTCTTCCAGACAGATGAATGGCGTCTAAGCTGCATCAATAAGGATTTCTCTGTCTGTCCATCCTACCCTCCAGTTGTCATTGTCCCCAAATCCATCGATGATGAAGCGCTTTGGAAAGTTGCCATGTTCCGCCACGGCAGTCGCTTCCCGGTCCTCAGCTATTACCATAAGAAGAATGGGATGGTAAGCTGCATTTGGGTAATGGTTCTACCAAAAGGAAGTGTGTGAATCTCTCTCTTTAATGAAAAAAAACCCTTGTGCTCTAGATTTAATATAGTTCATGAGACGTTCACTTGGTTTGTTTTTCAAGTTACTAGGTGTTTGCAGTGAAACTGGTTCTGGGTGATGGAATGAGTAATCTCCATCCTAGAAATAGCTATTAATCCACTTGCTTATGGAGGGAGCGTATGTGACATGAGCTTGCTCACAGCAGTAAGAGCAAGATGAGACTTGTAAAGCTACTGCTGGCACCCTTACTTGCTTTGTCTGCCAAAAGGCTTAATGCTGAAAGGATGGCAGAAACCACATTGTCCTGTCTCAGGGTGGTGGGCTGTCTCCTTCGTAGTAGTCGTGATGACAGCGAGCGTGCCCAGAGCCAGCACCGCTTCTGCTGTGTAACTGTCGAAGGAGTGATGAGAACAATCTGTTCCCTGAGCCTGTCAGTATAACGTGTTTCAGGAGTAGCAAACTCTTGTTGTTGCACAGACTTCACCACCTTCCGACAAGCCAAAATGTAGTGGAGTGACTGATATGCTATAATTAAGATATGCACTTTATGAAATTGTTGAGTAATTCTGTGTACCTCTTGCTGATGTAACCAGTTCTGAGGATGCTAGGATATCCAACCTGCAGCTTACACACTTGGTCCAGGCTTCTGAGTCAAATACTTCAATGTCTTCTCTCCTCCTGTTGCCAAGATTGTTAAACTCTGAATTAGAGGACATCTAGTTTGACCTAGCAGTACACAATGTTTTTTTGCTTTGCTTTAAAATCAGCCATTCACCAATTTCATAAGTTGTGCTTTCTGCTTTTTCTCAGCTTGACTGAAAACCATTAAAGGAAGATTTGTTCCATTATCTCTCTGGATTGTGTATGCTTCAAGTTGTGAGGAATGAAATAGTGTTTGGCTAGGAGTGCTTGAACTTGTGACAGTAATGCTATCTGTCACATTGTTCTCCTGACTGAGTTCTTGAGCATAGCTGGGGTTGCTGACTGCCTGCCCTCACATTTGAGTTATGATTTGAGCTGCTGGAATGCTTTCTAAATTGAAAGGCATTTACTAAAGAGAAACCTCAGCTTATAAATCTGTGGACCTAAGGTTTATTAGTCTAGCCAGTGGGTAAAACTACCTAAGAGGCATCTTTAACACACAAATGACTTGGGAGTTTTAAAGACAGAGTTGGGAAGGCACCTGAAAGATAACCATCCTGAAAATCTTGGTTTATAAAGGAGCCATTAACAGGAAGCCAGTTCAGTGGCTCACAGAGGTGGTACTACAGGAATAAAGGGATAAAGCCTCTGAGATGATATCTATAATTTAGAACGTGGCCTGCCAAATGATCACTCAATTCAAGGATTTCTAGTTTGTTTTTTAAATACATTCAGTCCCTGCAAGAGACTGCACTTAAAAGAACTGAGGGATTCAGGGCAAGGGAGGACAGCAGCTGTAGGAAGAGCTAGAGGGACGTTTCTGTGCAGCAGTCATGCAGCTCACGGTGTTCTATGTCCAGGCATGGTGGATTGAACTTGAAGCAGGTGGAAGTAGGAAGTGCAGTAGGGTGAGAGCTGCACTTGCTGGTGCAAATCCACAGAGAAGAGCTGGAGATCCAGGAGATGACCCCACTTGAATTTTACCCCTGAACTCAGAGAAGAAGCTTTTTAAGGTGGGTCTATCTCACTCCAATAAGCACTGTTACAATGGCCTGAGTTGTAAAGGAAAACAGGAGCATCCTGTGTGAATTTCAGCAGTAAGCCTCTGTAGGAGATGTTCTCCATGCCTGCAGTTGAGGCATGGCAAACTATTGTATCAGTTTTTGCAGTCTATGTTTAGAGACCCTGAAGTAATCCTCTAGTGAAGAAGTGTCCTTTGTATAGTGAGTTTGGATCTCCATTTTTGACAAGTAATCAATGTCTTTCAGTCTTAAGTCTCTTAATTTCCAGTCCCTGATCCATGTTTTTTTTGTCTCTGCAGGTCATGATGCGAAGTAGCCAGCCTCTTACAGGTACAAATGGGAGACGGTGTAAAGAGGATGAGAAGCTTATTAATGCCACGCTACGGCCTGGCAAGCGTGGCTACATCATTGATACCAGGTCCCTGAATGTTGCCCAGCAGGCCAGGGCCAAAGGAGGAGGCTTTGAACAAGAAGTGCACTATCCCCAGTGGAGGAGGATTCACAAATGCATTGAGAGGTGGGTGAAATTACACAGGCTTGGCTTTGTAGGGTTATGTTGGCAGAGCCATGCCAGCTCCATAGAGTGTCTGCTTCTGTAAGAAGTGGCTCTCTATCCTGGTTCCTGTCAACAGGGTCACATTCTCATTTTGGTGAAATCGGGGTATGTGGATGATAAAGGTAGTTGGCTTTGGAAAGCTATGTTTGGTTCCTTGTTCTGGTGAGCCTGCTATGGTTTCAGACATCAGGCAATTTTCTTGTGCCATCTCTTTGACCATCTATAGCTGCACTCCAGCCTTCCTGTGTTCCTCCTTTTTGCCAGAAAACTTCTGCAGGTGAGGCTTCGTGACTGTGGCAGTCACAATCCTCTTACCCAGTAATTTTCTCTGGACATCTAATATTGTTTGATCATTTTGGAACAAGTTACTAAGTTAAATAGACTTTTAGCCTGATCTCGTTCAACTGCTCTTAAGCCTTAGTTCTGGTGAATCCTTCTACACAGGCATGCAGTAATGTTTCTGGAGGTATTGGAAGGCCCCACTGTTGTAATGCTTTATGAAGCAATTTGTTCTGAAAGGTAAGAAGCTACTTACATCCAAAGAGTAGTGTTCTGCTGGCAGTTAGCCACGGTGTAGCATTAGCAGCAAGAGCAGGTTTGCTGAATGAGGATACACTACTTCTATATAGGGTCACACTTCTTGAAATAACTGTGTCTAAATCATAGTGCTTTATTTTGAGATCAGTTAAGCAAGTTGTCCTGGTTGTAAAATTACTCCTTAACGTTTTCAATAATATTTTGCTTTTCCCAAAGGTTTAATATTCTGCAGGAAAGCCTCATCAAACTTGTGGAAGCTTGTAATGACCAGTCGCACAACATGGACCGCTGGCTCAGTAAACTGGAAGCTTCCAACTGGCTGACTCACATCAAGGAGATACTAACTGCAGCTTGCCTAGCTGCTCAGTGTATTGATAGGTAAATCTTCAGAAATCCTTGAGTTTCTCACTCACTCGTTACAGATTGCTACCCCTATTTCCACTTTAAATGTTAGCAACTGGCCACCATGAACTGCCTTGCTTGTAGCCATGCAAAATACTGTTTCTTCTTGGTTAAAGAATGTTCTTCCAGTAAAATCCTGCTTGCATTTTTAGAAGTACAAACCTGAGGGAGGAAATCTTGACTAAGAATATGTATATAGATAATCTAGTTAAGGTACGTTCCTACGTCTGATGCAACCAATCTAATTTAGTTAGTTTTAAGGTTTTGGTTAGAATGTGCCCATCTGTAATGCTGTTTGGTAGCCTAGTAATGTGAGAACACAGAGGGTTTGGTTTTTTAAAGTCCTCTGGTTTTAGCTGAAAGTTTCCAATACCTGACTTCTGGAGATTAAAACACTGGCATTTCCTTGTTTTCCACAAGAATTAGCCCAGTGCTTTTTCCTCTTGAATTTTTTATCCCCATAGTCTTGTCTAAGCAATCCTGTTCATCCTTTGTAAGCGCTTTTAACCTGACATTTAATTAATAAATACTGCTGACTTGGCTATCTCGTCTTCAGACCTCAGGCTGGAGAGCAAAAGCTGCCAGTTGTCAGGGTTTTTAAGACCAAATGCAGGGCTCTAAACGTGATTTCTTTGTGGCTCTGAGGGGAAAGCCCTTCTCAAAACATAGGGAAAACCCAGCTCATAACAGTTAGGAAGTGTGTTATACAGATACACAAATAGGCTAAAATGCTTCCTTAATGCAGTTCTGCTGTTTTACCAATAAAATATGAGCTTCTGTGCTTCTTAAAAGCACTGATAGTACCTGTTTAGTTATTGACTCTGTCAGAAAAGGATTGCTCTTGATCAATAGTTTTATCTGTAATTCTTTCCTGCGTGTGTGTAGTGAAATGTGTGTATAATGACTAAGATCGGTGATGAAACTCATCTGGTTTCTTTGAATAGTGGACAATTTCATCATTTTTTTAACCTCAGCTTTGCTTTTTCTGTTTACTCTGAGCTATGGCAGGCCAGGTCAGCACTGGTGCCTGGCCTGCCTCATTCAGAGCCTTGAGATCATAGCTGAGCTGACAAGGATGGTTCAGTTATATTGGCTGCAGGGAGGGAATGACTTGGACAGATCTGGCAGCATCTTAAAGGTCTGAAGCCTGAATGTTGAAAGGTGAAAATAGTGTTATTCTGGTGTGCCCCACTTTGAGGAGAGCGTAGTCTTGCAGTTAGCCTTTGCAATTGTGCTTGGCTGTTAAGCAGCCTCTTTATCTGCCACTGCCTGCAGGAGGAGGAGAGAAAGTATATGAAGATTACCTATACCTTAAGGGCACTGGGTTTGTTTTAGACATAGGAATATAGACAAAGATGTTGCAATACTTAAGGTATAGATTCTTAGGGTTTTCACTTAAACAAGCAAATGATATCTGCAGGGCTATTTGCTTGGTATATTGATCTTTCTCACCCATGCTTTGATGCATACCTTGGATCGCTGCACAGAAACACAATCTGCAGTTAATTTCCTTTTTAGATGTAAGGATGTTTTGAGGAACTGAGATATTGGGTTAAGGTTTGGGAAGAGTAAGAGGGATGAATGGCATTTAATACCATCTAGTCCTTCCTTCAGGAGCATACAGATGAGGTTTTGATACTGCATCCGAATACAGCCTAGAATAGAGAAGAGGGAGTCAGTTGTCCTGGACAGTCCCCACTGGACTGTGGAGAGTGATGGAATGTGGGCCCCTAGCAATGCACAAGACCTTCCTGCCCCATACTCTGAGCTCTTCACATTGTTCTGCTTCCCTTATGCTGGCTAGTGAGAGAGGAGCCTTTGGGCTTTTGCATCTTGGACAAGCTTCCTTGCTCAGCACAATAACTCTGCTGCCTTTCTGGAGGCTGAGCTCTGCCT